CCTGCTGAAGGCAAAATGTACCTGGAGAGCTGACTTCACTAATGGGAAAGACTTTCTATGTTCCAGTCTACAGATGCTCTTTGACATCCTCTGACTATGATCTGAGAGGATTCTTTTCTTTTGCAAAACAGACCTATTTCTTATTTTTGCTGGATCCAAGTATTCACCATTTCAACTTTAAACTACGTATTAACTGTAACTGAAAACCTCGAGGGTGTATTATTCACATTGCTCTAGAAAAATTACTTTGTAATTCAGCTATTAAATTAAACTGCAGGGAACTATAGCTCTGATAACTGGGACAGCTCAGTAAAGAAGTAGTAGTTCTTTGAGGTCAAGAGCTACATTTGCTAGGAAAAATAATAAATCTGCTAAATAAACTGGAACAAACAGAGAGCACGTTGAAAGGAAAATGTAAAAACACATCAGCAGGAGTTTAGAATAAGCTCCTGGTGCTCTGAAGTCAAGAGCAAAATTGCTGTTGACTCCATGGGGCCATAATTTCACCTCTATTCTGAAACGCTGTTTTATTTTTTCTACATTGTAGCCCCAAAACGTGCACAGGAATTAAATATGAGGAAATATATTCCAGCAGCCTGATAGATGAGGCATGATTAATACAATGGCCACCTCTGCTACTTTATGAAAATAAACACATAAAAAATGCTCATAAGACTCTTGGGTCAAAGCCTGGATTTCCTTCTTCCTTATACACATTTTTTTTTCCTACGTGACATCCTTTTACAAAGTAATTCCAAGATTCCCTTGACAGAGAAACAACAGACAAAGAGAAACTGCTTACCAGCAAAGCCACATTATCAGTACAGGACATTTGATATAATGACTCACAGTATGACCACACCAACCACAAACCTCCAAAGAAGTTCCTCATTTATTTGAGGGTCCCCACACCAAACCACCACCACCACCCTGGTTCCTGGGAATCAGAGTAATTTTCTTGCCTGGTTGCACTGGTTGCTTTTGGAGTTTTTTGGATCACAGCCACAGGTCTGGCATCCTTTTCCACTAGCAAGGCCCCAGTAGCCAGGGACACACTGGTCACACCTCGTGCCCACCACATTGAGCAGGCAAGGGCAAGCTCCCGTGGCTGGGTCACAGAGGCAGACTGCATCCCCCCCGGGGCACAGGGCAGGCTGAACACCTGCCAGATTGCACCTGCACCCTGCAAAAAGAAGGACAATTACCACAGCAATATAGACAGCTGATGGACAAGCCGAGCTGGATATAAAGCCCATGCTGCAGGTTTACTTCTAGTGACTTTGACCACATTATAAACCTCATACAGTTTATGTCTCTTACTGTAACAGCTTGTATATTGCTTTGATATGGGAGTGTTCAGTGCTTCTAATACAGGCCCAAAAAATGAAGGCACAGTGAGTTTGGAATCTTATTAGAATGAAATGTTAAATATGTTGGGTAAGGAGAAGTTGATTTACAGTAGGCACTATCCTTCGTGGAAAGCCCCAGTAAGCCAAGTAAGATAAAAAGCATTTCTTGTGAGAAGCCAAACGTTCTTGCTTAACTATTTCTAACAGACAGCTTCCAAGAATGAACAAGGGATGGGCTTGGACTATGTTTTAGAGATTCCCAGAAAAAGAGTCTCTTGAAAATACTTTAAATTGTCTGCCCCATAAAAATTAGACTCTCAATCAGAAAACAGTCTTTGAGAAACATTGCCTTGGTTTTCCTTACACTCATGCCTTTCTCTAAAGTGCTGAGTTACTGACAGTGTCCTCATGGAGTCTATTAAATTACTAGACCAGTCTCATTCTAGCCACTTGATGCAAACAACTGGTAAGGCAGGGAGCTCAGCAAGGGATCATCTGGTTAACTGAGCATTGCTTAGTTGGCATCAGCCAGCAACATGGCTAAAAAATTATCTTTTGATTCCTTTACTTTTGATTCCTTCCTGAATGGGCTGAATGCATATTTATTTTTCTAACAGGGAAAACTCCTTTCATTTCACAAATGACTATTTCCTAGGAGTGATATTCAATATGAGATCTAGTGAGACTTGGATGAAAAATATCACTGATGTATTTGGTATATGGAAAAATATATTCTGTATTTTTATATTTTACTCTATTCATCTGCTTTAGTTTTGTTGTCCTTCCAAGGGCTACCCTCTCCCTATAGCCTATTTAAGAACAAACCTTTACTTGGTGGTAACATACCAAGTGCTGTTACTTACTTACTTTGACAGTTTTGATTGAGGGCTGAGCCAAAATAACCTGGTTTGCAGAACTGGCAGTTTGCTCCATGGGTGTTGTGTAAACACTTGGTGCATTCCCCCGTGACCCTGTTACAGGACTCTGGGTCTGTCAAATCAATGTTGTTATTGCAGGGACATGGTGCACAGTCAAGCCCAGAGCTGCTTGGGTTTTTGTAGAACCCACTAGGACACTCATCACACTGATTGCCTGTCAGAGAGGAAGGTAAAAATATTGCTGGCGGATGGGAATTCAAGTGAAACATCTGATTTCCAGTAATATTGGTAAAAGGTTCACACTGTCTGTAAAATGCACATTTCCAATGGAAAATATCCACTTGTTTGAGACTGTTCCCCTTTAATCCTATGATCAGTTTAAGTTACATCTCCCATACTGAAATCTGATGGAAATACACTCTCCCCATCCCAGATTGTTTCTACCAAGAACTCCTTTCAGTAGGAGCAAATACCACAATACCTCCAAACATCTTTTTCCAGCTAAGTAATCAGTGTTAGCTGTATTTCAGGATTTTCCTTGGCCCTTCACTCCAACAGCAGGATTGGAGGCTCCGGGGTGCCCAGGAGTTCAGATGAGCTCTGGGATGCTCTGTCCTTGCTTGCTGGCATTGCAATTACTTCTGCATGCCATGCCAATGTCTGTCCTGATTGGAGTGCTACCTCTTTGCATCTCAGACACCTTCCTGGGCAGGCTGATGTGTCTGGAACCATACCCACTGGCTCATCCTCAACCAAGGACTCTGTTCCTTCACTGTGGACCAGAGTCTTTCACACTCTCTGCAAAAGAAAGACTGGTGCCACAGAGGTGACCAAGAGTCTTGTCAGAAAGGAGCAGGAAGAAGAAAGTCCAGAAGTGAGGATTGCAGTGGTTTGTGAGGACAGAAGTCCCCTAGCTGGGCACCAACAGCACAGTTTTGGCCCTGCAGCAATTACTCAAGCTAAACTGCTGTTGACTTATAAAGGAATCTTGCCCAAGTAAAGATGACAGCATTGGTTTAGTTTTTGGCAGTGTTTCCCATTGGGGTTTGTTTCCATCACAGGAGATCTTTCTAATGCCCAGGGGGAGGGAAACATCTTCAGCTTTCCCTTGAGGAATTCAAGCTAAGTCAACAGGACAAGAGGAAGCAAGGCATCAGTTTTCTGCAAAAATATCTGTGTTTGAGACAGCTGAGAATGGAAACCTCATTTCTAAAGGGACCATTTGAACCGTGAAACAGTCACTTTTGGGCATAATGTCAGAGACAGATTCCTCTGAATGGAGAAAGCTTCCAATGCTGCTTCTTCAGAGGTAATTAGCAACAGCAGTTCTCCCCCCTCTCCCTACCAGATTAGTGTAGTGTCCGTGGAAAGGAAGAGGTTTCCAGAGAGTGACATCAGTTTAATTAATGACTTCACAGTATCCACATAGGTGAATCCTTTTTCAAATACTAATTGCACAATTCCCACTCTTTCTAGTCAGGACTTCCCCCACATAATTTCAGTTTGAGTATTAACTCTTCTTAGCTGTTTTATTACCACTACTTCACTTGTCATTTCTGAACAGGTGTAAATTTCTCTCTAACATTAATTTTCATTGAATCAAAACCTGTCCTTATTTTGCTTCATACCTGAATATCCCTCGAGACAATTGCAGACTAGT